GCCAGGCTCCTAACTCATCCTGTCTGTTAGAGCAGGGGCCAGGAGCTGCTCTCACCGATAGCTGCAGGGCTCTGTTCCGAAGAGGCAGGCTAGGATTATGCGATCAGGGGCATAGCCCATCCCCACCAGGTCCTTCCGGGGCACTTGGGAGAAGATGTTGGTGGCCTGCAGGATGTACCACTCGGTCACGGCCTGGGTGGCGCTGGTGAAGTTCCGGAAAGTGCACACAGTCCCGTTGGCGCTGCACTGTGGAAGGGAAGAGGGGCTCCTGAAGACAGCAAGGCCACTGCTCTGAAGAACCCAGGAGGGAAGGGCAGCAGCACCATATCAGCTGCCCCGTGGCTTCACCCTGGTGGCAGGAAATGCGCTAGAATCCTAACTCACCCATACCCAGGGGCAACTCCAGGCTGGGCATACACAGCCAGCACTGGTACTCTTAGGCATGAACACGTAACACATGTACAGAAATATGGCTCCCCTCCGACACATGTACAGACACATTACACATACAGAGGCATACAAAGACACACACTCACACATAGGGGTAAACACACATACATACTCAAACACACATAGGTACAGACACATATGGACACACAGCACACACACACTCAGGTACACAAACACACACATGCACGCACATTCAGATACACAAACACACTTGGGTACACAGACACACAAACATACATGGGTACACACACATACACAGACACACTCAAACACATATGACTACACATACGATACACAAACACATATGGTCACACACAGATATACTCTCACACACAGGCGCGCGCGCGCACACACACACACACACACACACACACACACACACATACACATATAGGGACAAACATGGACATTACGCTCTCCCTAAGAGCTGGTGAGCATAGAGGCTTGGACTGAATTTTCAGATAGGTAGCCTGTGACCACACCATAAGTGTGGCATCCACTCCTGGGCTCCGGGCCATTTGCTGGTGTGAGTGGGGGCTTTGGAGGCTGTGAGCAAGTGCTAGTGCAAGGCAAACAGTTGCCCCTGACCCTGCACACCTGACCCTTGTTAATGCCAAGGCTGACCCTCAGAGTAACCAGGGACGCTGCTGACAAGGCAGGCCTCAGGGCCCTGAACTGCATCCTTGGGCTCTCCAGGGGTGACATCTGGATCATGGTCTGGCTTGTGACAGAGCTCTGGGAGATCCCAGATGAGGCTTTCTCCTCCTCCTGGGGTGGTACGAGCTGGTAGCACCTCAGCCTTAATGTGGGCAGTGGTTTCTTGGTCTCTGACTGTGCCCTCCCTACTCAATCCTTATGAAACTGATACATCGCTACCAACTCCAGAGCATGTGATCCAGGACTGGCCAATCACTGGAGGCGGTCCTGTAGCTCACTGTGATTATTTTGAGCTGAGATGTGACCAGGGGAGTTAGTCCAAGGCGTTTGACTGGCTTTATTGAGAAAGAAGAACTGTGGGGAGAGATTGCTGTGATGTCGGCAGGGAGGACACAAGGCCTGAGCTGAGATGGAGGGCACTGAGTTCTCATGAAAGCACCTGAGTGCCTGGATCTAGGCATGCCTGGACCCGGATGAGTTCCTGACATCTTTGTGAGGTGTGCCAATGGCTCCCTGCTTTGCAGAAACTTGTCTGAACTGTGTCACCCTCGTCCCAGGGTCTCGGCCAACACACCAGCCATTCCTACTTTTTAAAGAGCGCTTGCATGGCTCAGGGAATCTTCCGGTTGGTGAAGTGCTGGTAGCATTAGCAGGAGAACCCGCGTTGGATCCTCAGAACTCACATGAGAAACCCAGACAAGGGCTGAAGAGCTGGCTCAGAGGCTAAGAGCACTTGTTCTTCCAGCAGGCACCCTATGGTGGCTCACAATCATCTATACCCCCAGTTCCAGGGGATCCAGCACCCTCTTCAGACCTCCATAGGTACCAGGCACATACATGATACATAGACATACACACAAGCAAAAACACTCATATACATAAAAAAATAAATTGAAAAATGATTGAAAATACGGTGAAATAGGTTTTTTTTTTTGTAAACTCAGAACTGGGGAGGTAGAGACAGGCAGATTCCCCAGGCTTGCTGGTTAGTTAGCCTTGCCTAAGGAGAAATGACGTCTGAGGTTGTCCTCTAACCCCCACCCCATCCCTGACAGGTACACCTGCAAATACACCCACACACCCCCTTAGTCCTTTGCAGATGTACAAAACAGGCTTGGTTCCTCTCAGCAAATCTTAGATTATTAATGAAAATAGATTGTCACCAACCTCTCTGGAGGGCCGTGGCCTGGGCTTGGGGAACTTACCAGCTTCATGGCCACCTTGCACCCCTGGGCATTGCAGGTGCTTCCTGGGGCTGCACTGCTGCCGTTGTGGCTGTCCCCCAACAAGTCGAGGACCAGTGGATGGTCAGGGTTCCGTTCATCAATGAAGACCAGGGGTGTGTGGTTCCAGATGGTAAAGTTGAGGGTACTGGTGGTGTTGGTGTGACCAGTCCCCGGAGCCAGAATCTTGTCTAAGACAGCCTCCATCAGCTCATCCAGGTCCTTCAACAAGGGCTTGACTTTGGGGTACCTAAGTGGGCAGAGGTTGGGTCAGGTGGGCAAGGGGCCACCACAGAAAGAACGCACAGAGCTTGGGGTCTTCTCGCATGCAGCGTATAGGACTCGCTACCACAGCAGGGCCTGGTGATGCACACCTGTAATCCCAGTTGTTCTGGAGGCGGAGGCAGGAGGAGTGTAAATTCAAGCCATATCTGGGCAATGTAGTGAGATCCTGCCTCGTTCTTTATTTCTTAAAGGGCCAGAGACATGTCCTAGGGTTAGCGTGCTTGCCAGCATGTGTGCTGCCCTGGGTTCAATTCAGACACCCACATGTCTCTCTGTTGTCTGTTCAGTTCTCTCATTCACCAGACACATATTCAACAACGTCTACGGGCAAGGCGACAGAGGCAGAGACAGCCGAGGAATGCCCCTGGTAGTGAAGAACTGTCTGTTGATTGCGTGTCATGGGTCAGATGTGAGGGGCCCTTTCTTTCAGTTGCTCTTTGTCACAATTTGTCACCATCCCCACCTACAGACAGAGAAACTATCTCTTGGAAGCCACTTTGATTTCTTGGATGACCCCAGGAATTAAGGAGCAGGGCTGAAGCTGAAATTCAAGTTTGGTGGGCTCCCAGCAGCAGGAGGGGGGTTGTGCTCAGGGGTCTCCCTCAGAGCCTCCTCTCTGTAGAGGTAGAGGGTGGAGGGGGCAGGTCTGTGACCTGAGGACCAATCACAGGATGAAGAGGTGGTGGGACTGTGAGGGTGGCTTCTGTTTTTCCTCCTTCCCCCCAGGGCCTCCATGTAGGAAGTGTGACCAGGCCCTGTGGAAGGGATAAGAAAGTGTCCCTCCTTGAACGCATTGGCTCAGGAGACCACTTTCTAAATATGACCACAGCAGCACAGACACTGAGAGAAACAATTAATAAATGGGACCTCCTGAAACTGAAAAGCTTCTGTAAAGCAAAGGACGTGGTCAACAAGACAAAACAACAGCCTACAGAATGGGAAAAGATCTTCACCAACCCCACATCAGACAGAGGGCTGATTTCCAAAATATACAAAGAACTCAAGAAATTGGTCAACAAAAGAACAAATAATTCAATAAAAAATGGGGTACAGACATAAATAGAGAACTCTCAACAGAGGAACCTAAAATGGCTGAAAGATACTTAAGGAAATACTCAACATGTTCAGTCATCAGAGAAATGCAAATCAAGACAACTCTGAGATTTTATCTTACACCTGTCAGAATGGCCAAGATCAAAAACACTGATGACAGCTTATGCTGGAGAGGATGTGGGGTAAAGTGAACATTTCTGCATTGCTGGTGGGAATACAAACTGGTACAGCCCCTTTGGAAATCAGTAAGGCAATTTCTCAGAAAATTAGGAAACAACTTTCCTCAAGACCCAGCAATATAACTTTTGGGTATATATCCAAAGGATACTCAATCGTGCCACAAGGACATGTGTTCAACTATGTTCAAAGCAGTTTTGTTTGTCATAACTAGAACCTGAAAACAACCTAAATGCCCTCAACCGAAGAATGGATAAGGAAAATGTGGTACAATAACACAATGGAATACTACACGGCAGAAAAAAATGACATTTTTTCTTGAAATTTGTGGGCAAAAAGATCTAGAAAACATCATATTGAGTGAGGTAACCCAGACCCAAAGACAAATATCATATGTATCACTCATAAGTGGCTTTTAGACATAAAAGCAAACAAAACCAACCTACAATTTATAATCCCAAAGAACCTTGACAACAATGAGGCTCTTAAGAGGGACATACATGAATCTAATCTACATGGGATGTAGAAAAAGACAAGATCTCCCTAGTAAACTGGGAGGATAGAAGGGGAGGGGACAGGAAGGGAGAGAAATGGAGAAAAATATATAGCTCAATAAAAACAATTAAAAAAAAGTTTCCCTCAGAAAGAATTGCTGTGGTTTCTAATATTATTGTTTTAATAATCTCTCTCTCTGTGTGTATATGTGTGTGTGTACTACATGTAGGGTGTGCCAATGGAGGCCAGAAGAGGGCATTTGATTCCCTGGGGCTAGAATTATTCTCAGTTGTGAGCACCCAGTGTAGGTGCTGGGAACAAACTTGGGCCCACTGCAAACTTTCTTAACCATTGGGCCATCTCGCCAGCCTCGGCTGTATTTTTTTTCAGAATGTGAAAACTGATTACTGTTTCCATTGTCAAATTTTATGACCTTGGTCTTTCCTGCTTGCATTTGTACAGAGCCAAAAGGAAATCATCAGCTATTTCAACAACTTTAAAGCGGACTCCAGGAATCTCACCTACAGCATTACCCTTCCAACTAAATCCATCTACCAGAATTTCATTGTTTTCAATGAAGTTCAAGCAGCCGTCACTGGGCATGAAAGCTGTGATCTTGCTATTCTTGATGAGCTACACCCTGACACACTTCCTGATAGCAGAAACATGGAACCCTTCACAAATTTGCATGTCATCCTTGCACAGGGACCATGCTAATTTCCTCTGTGTTGCTCCAGTTTGAGTATATGTGCTGCTGAAGCCAGCACAGTCTCTGCTGTTTCTTAGACTAGGTCTCACTTGTAGTCCGAGCTTGCCCCGACCTCAAGATCTTCCTGCCTCAGCCTCCTAGGTCTTGGGATTGCAGGCTGCTCGAGCCAGGTGGTTAATGCCTTGGGCTCTCTTAGGTTCCCAAGGGTTACTCAAGCAGAGGAAACCCTCTTAAAAAGATGGACCTTCTAGGGCCTGGGGCAGTGGCTCAGTGGTTAAAGTGCTCAGCAGGAGGACTGAGTTAGGTCCCCAGCATCCATGTAAACAGATATGCACAGTGGACTGCACTTTAGAGCTGGGAACAAGGAGACCGGCAGTGTCCCTGGAGCTTGCTGGCCAGCCAGGGAGTCCAGTCCCATGGAGAAACGCTGTCTCCAAACGCAACATGTGCTGCTCCCCGAGAAATGACCCCAAGGCTGACCTCTGATCCACACACATGAATGGATGCACACACAAATACCAAAGTCTAAGGAACTTTGGGGGACTGGGAAGGTAACCATAAAGTGTGAACTCCCTTCTAGAACTTTCCTTTGGACAAGATTATCCCCTGTCATTCCATTCTTGAATTTTCCAGGCTGCTTTACTCCCGGGTCTTTGCACACACCACAACCTGAACAGTGCCTCCATCCCTCCTGGCTAGCCTTAGACAGTTTTTACTGACTGACTAGCTGCCTACTAACTAGTCCTGGTTAGGTGAGGGTCTATTTGTCGTCACACCCTGAAGTCTTCTCTTTGTGTAAGAGACAGCATGGCAGAGGGGTTACAAAGTGGTCCTTCCGGAGTCAGATCAGGTTTCTCACCCTGAGTGGTTGACCAGATGTGCTCACCCCTCTGCAGCTGGATTCCCTCACCTGTGAACTGGGATTGCTACAGAAATGCCCATCTCTGGGAGGGCTGTACACGAAAGAATTGTACCAGTTTCCCCAGGCATGACCAGGCCAACCATTGGGGGAAGTGGGGATGAGCTTCTTGATCATTAAAGTAATAACTCAGTATTTTTTGGAAAAATCTTTTAAGGTTCAGGGATTAAAATTTTTAAAAATGTTACTTTAGTTTATGTTCATGGGTATCTTTCCAGAATGTGTGTATGTATGTATATGGAACACTTTCAAGTACCCGTGGAAGTCAGAAGAAGGGTTTCAGGTTCTCTGCACCTGGAGTTATAGTTGAATGTGAGCTGCATGTGGGTGCTGGGAACTGAACCTGGTTCCTCTGGAAAAGCAGCAAGTGTTTTTAGCCCCTGAGCTGTCTCTCCAGCCTCCAATGTATCTTTTCTTTTCTTTTTTAAATTTCTGTTTCTGAGTGTTTTGCCTGTATATATGTCTGTGCGCCATGTGCATGCCCGGTACCCAAAGAGGCCAGAAGAGGACATTGTAACATTGTATCCCCTGGAGCTGGAGTTGCAGGCTATTGTGAGCTGTTATATGGGTGCTGGGATTTGAACCTGGGTCCTCTGGAAGAGTAGCTGGTGTTCTTAACTGCTGAGCCATCTCTCCAACTCCAGTATTGAAAACATCCTAATGGTTGTTTCCTCTGCAGAGGGCAGGGACTTGGTTCTGTTTGGTACTACCGTTTCCAGCATACAAACAGTGGCACGCAGTAGATGCTCAATAAACACAAATGCAATTATCTAGACGCAGCATTGCTGACAACAGGAGGCGCCATTTGTACAGTGTGTGTGGTCTTGTGTTTGAGACAGGTTCTGGTTGTGCAGCCCAGGCTGGCCTGGAATTCATCATCCTGCTTCAACCTCTGAATGCTGAGGTATAGGTGTGTGCCACCATACCTGCTTTATAGACATGTATGTAGCTGCAGACACGTAAGGGCTGGGAGTTGGCTCAGTTGGTAAACGGTTTGATCTATGAGTATGAGGACCCGAGTTTGGTCCTCAGCACCTATGTGAAGAGGTGTGGCAGAACAAATTTGAAATCCCAGTGTTCTGGAGAGATGTGGATCCCTGGGGCTTGGAAGCCCGCCAGGCTATGCTAATTAGTGAGCCTTGATCATAATGATAAACCCTGAACCTCCTCTCACCGAGGCTCAGGTATCTGCACGGGGAGGGGGCAGGGGAGTCAATGTCTGTAAGGAAACCACATCTGCTGGATGTGACAGCACAGTTGCACCTGTGAACTCACAGTAAGAGCTGCACGAGATGAAGCCAAGATCCCAGCCTGGAAGGCAGAGGGGGTCATGAGATCCCACCGCTAGCTGAGGAACTATCAGAAACTGATGGCCGCTGGAGAGGGTAGGTCAGTTTCCTTCAGAAGTTTGGACCCTAAGAGGCGGCCTGTGCTCCAGTAGATGGTCCCACACCCATGCACACCCAGGCAGCACAAAGTAAAACAGAGACAGAGAGGGGGGGAGGGGAAGAGGG